TCAGGTGTACAGTGCATACGCATAGAAATCATTGCACATACCTGCAGCAGCATCAGTTTCTTCCTGCCCAGCTGAATGCTAGACCATACTAAACCAGCAAAGCTCCAATACTGGGTATAACTGGGAACTAGCAGGTCAGAATACAAATAAGAAGAATATATAATTATATAATAATTCTAGGGGGCCTAGCTGCTGAAGAGGCAGTAATATAAAGCCCCTAGCAGTCAGGGGCAGATTTGGAGTAGTGAGATGCCTGGCGGTGGCTTCTGAAGTCACACGGTGTTAGCTAATAGGTCACAGTGCCACCAGCAGGTGAAAAATAAATATTTGGTTAATTACAAGCTCTCTTAAGCTGTAAAGGTGATCTGCATCTTTGAGCTCTGCTGTTAAAAGCATGACATAAAAAGCACACTTACATGGTACCCTTATACTTTAAAGACCTAGGCTATTACATATCTAAAGTGTTCCAATTTTGTAAAAGTGCTTGATAAATAACAGAATATTTGTTGCTACTTTTTTCTATTTATTCTTAAATGGCACCCTTAAAAACTGGTGTGTTTTCATAGAATCACTAAACTCAGGAGTTAAATCCTAGAAATGCATTCAAGTACCTTAACTATTAACTAAAATGTATCTTATTTGTGTATTATTTGTTCCCCATGGTCCCTGTGCATGTGGTAAAGTAGCCACCGCTCCCAGCTCGCTCCCGTGATCGACTACAATCACAGTACAAATTAGTAAATGACACATGAGATTGTAGTGCATCACGGGAGCGAGTTTGGAGAAGCGTCTACTTTACAACACACACACGGACCATGGGGAACAAAAGTAGGCACCCTCCAGAAGGAAGGAAAGTGTCAGCATGAATTCAGAGATGATTTGAGGCTCTACAGCTGAGTGATACACAAATAAGATTCATTTTTGTTAATAGTTAGGGTTCCTGAATGCATTTTTAAGATTTAGCTCTTAAGTTTAGTGTCACTTTAATAAAAAAAAGGCTCAGATGCAGAAAAAATGCATGATTTTTAAGCATAGACTACAAAACCAAAAGGTTATCTGTGGTTATATAGTATATGTAGTATCCACAAAGGAATGTTTTGGCAATATATGACAAGAAGTTATCCCCTGTTTAACCTAAGCATCTGGAGAGTGAAAATAGTGGTCTGAACAGGAAGTGGCATGAAGCTGCCAATGATGTTTAAACCTTTACATTGAGGTTTGTGATTTTCCAGGAATTGCCCTCTGTACAGTGGACATCGTACAGCAACCCCTGTTGTCTGTTCTTTGCTATTCTAAGTCTGTAGTATGCCTGTGTTGTTTAAGTAATTTACATTGCCTGTAACACTGCATTCAGTGGACCTTAACTTAAAATCTAAGCTTGTGCTGTCTAACAGGGGCACAGTTTGATGTGGCAAAGCAAATCAGTAAAGAAATGTACCTTTATAATATAATACCTGATTAGAAACAGCAGCGCACTTACACACATGTGACAATGTCTAGGCACACTCTTTTCTTCTAGCCTTCCTGGAGCCTATCAGGAGTTTGATTGCCATGCCCCACATTGTCTTGCTTCTGAACACTGAATGTAACATGGAGCTGGGTCTAGACAGAAGAAATGCTTTTCCATAGAGATGCTGTTCACTGCATGAAAAAAGTGGACCTGTGCAAAATTCTGTATATAGAATGTTTACTGTAAGGGCTAAATCATTCACAACTGATTTATCTTTAGTGTTTAAAGAATAGGATTGCCTAAATCTAAGTACAATTCCATAATTGAGTAATAATTGATACATAGGAGCAGCAAGTTAGAGCAGGAAGCTTTTTATTTGCATACACGTCTCCTGATGGCAGTTACTGAGACATTATTTGTAATAAAAAAAAGACCAAGCTGTAGGCTGTAGATTACAGTTTGATCATCTTCTTTTCAATGCTAGAACCCAAGGTTTGAGACCATTGTCATTTACAGACATAGGACTCATTCTAATTGCCCCTGCATTGTTCAACAGGCCTTGTTATTTTGTAAAAAGCCTCTGGTTACTGGTATTCTGGGAACACAGTATTTCGGTTTTTTTCATTCTGCAGATTAGATATACTCAATCCAACCCATCAAATTCTTGCAGTTTTACATAAAAAAGAGTGGATTTGTTTAAAAATCCACAACATATAAACAACTACTAATATATTTTTTTAAAAACAGTGTTGTAGGTTGTTCATCCATGGAGTATCTAATTGCCTTTGGGAATGAGAAACAATTTTTTTCCCCAGCTGAAGCAAGTTTGATAGAGCATGCATTATATAGTTTTTTCTTCCCTCTGGATCAATATCAGATTTATGATTTTTTCTTGAATTTTATGGATGTGTACTTTTTAACCTACCTAACTATGTAAATTATTTTTGCCTTTAGTCTGTGACTATTACAGCATACATAAACCATTCCCTGCAGGAAGGTCTAACTCTGAGCAAGAATGGTTGTATAGAATAGAATGACAAGACTCCCATCTAGAGGATTTTTACCCTGCTTAGTCTTGCAAGTGGTATAATAATATACATTTTACAGTGTTCCATTTTAGCTTAGTCTTAAAAGTCCTTACATTTTAAAAATGTTATTTTTCAGATTGAATGTTAGAATATCAATATATGTAAATATCTATAGACAGCATGGGATAAGTATACTACCTTTTTTAATGTACCATCACTACCTTGAGGTCTGGGGAGACTTTAAAAATGTGCCGTAGCTAAGCGTGGAAGGAGAGATACTACTTATATACCTCAACACAAGAAAGAATAGTGAAAGCTTTGCAGGATGTAAGGCAGCTTATATATGCTAGAGCATAACAAAACTGAGTAAACAATAGTTTACTTTAAAGTAAAGTAGACTCTATATCCAGAATGTGAGTAGCATTAGCAGTTCTGTTAAAGGTTTTACCTTTAACCTGGGAATTTTCTCATTTTCTCACTTTTTGCTTATATTCATTTTCTCTGGGTTTGACACTTGACTTTTATCTAGCTCCTGACTAATAATCTGCTTGAACTCACTGACCTAGGCTTGTCTGACTTTCCTTTCTAGCTTATCCTTTAGATTCTTTGTTGTTTGTTAACCTCTCAGATGTGATGTTTTTGTGTCCAGCTATTCCTGAATATTGCTGCAACACCTACCTGACCTCCTTTTACCATCTAGCTCAGCCTCGGCTAATATACTGTCAGGCAATTTCAAATCACATCTGTCACAGTTCACCTGCTTGGCAAATTTTTATAGCATAGTTGAAGATAGTTCAGGACCTAATCAGAATCCCCATTCTGATCAGACTGCAGTAAAATCAGTTCAGTAGCTTTGTTGCAAGTCTGTAGGAACATATAACTGTCTTGCTTTAAGCACTAGCAGTTCTTTTACGTCATTATTTTCCTTCATGTTTTTACCCAACCTGGTTTAGTTGTTTTGCAGTATATGAGACAAAAATTAGTGCCAAAGAGCAAAGCACTACAATAAATGTAAATAAATACATACATACATGAATAATGTTAGCTATTACCAAATGTTCTTTACTGCGAAGAGAAAGTTTGGTTTACTGCCTATGTGGATCTTGTCCAAAATGCATGAATTCGCTTTTCTATGGGTGTGAAAAGAATCTTAATTCTAATCTAATTATCTGTTTCAGATGTGTCTAAATATAGCTTACAATGACAGTTAAAGGAGGGTGAACCATAGTATATGAAGCGTAGCAGCTCATAAGTCAAAAAAGGAATACTATTTACCGTATTTTTCGCTCCATGAGACGCACTTTTTTCCCCCCAAAAGGAGGGGGAAAATGTGCCTGTGCCCTATGGAGCGAATCCCGACGCCCGAGACATGCTGTTTCGGGCGCCGGGCGAGTAGTAGGAGCCACTGCTCGTTTAATACGAGTGATCTAACGAGATCACTCGTATTAAAGCCGAGCAGCGGCGGCGGCGATCGGGTTCAGCAGCAGGAGCCACTGCTCGTTTAATACGAGTGATCTAATGAGATCACTCGTATTAAAACCGAGCAGCGGCGACGATCGAGATAACCATAGAGCAGACGAAGAATAGACGTTCTTCGCCTGCTCTGTGTCATCACTGAGACCGTGGCGCTGTAATCACAGCGCCACCTGTCTCAGCGGTCACTAACTGCAGCTTCTGTCACAGCTTCTGTCATAGAAGCTGTGACAGAAGCTACAGTCTCGAGTGCTCCATAAGGCGCGCCGGACCTCCCTGCGTCCTATGGTCCGGTGCGTCTTATGGACCGCAAAATACGGTATGTATTAGCATATTAAGCTCACTAGTGTGCAGGGGACTTAGTGTAAATTATTTATACATATAGTATACACTGAGTGGCCAGATTATTATGACCACCTGAGGTTTGTAGGCAAATTAGCTATAATTTCGCACTGAAGTTGCTAGAGGGCCAGATCATTATAAATAGGGAAGCAGGTTGTTTACCACAACAGTAGAAGTGATTTTTTTTCTGAAGATATGGGTAAACAACGCGATTTAACAGCCTTTGAACGTGGGATGATTGTTGGCGCTCTGAGCCATTGAGCGAGTATCAGCAAAACAGCAGAATTCGGTAAATGTTCAAGAGCAGCTGTTGTTAAAGTGTTTAACCACTTCAAGACCAGGTGTTTAGACCCCCTTCCTGGCCAGGCCATTTTTCAGTATTTAGCGTTGTGGTACTTTG